AATGCCAAAAATCTTGCTATTTGAACGAATTGAAGTTCCAGCTATGTCGGGGTCGCTCCAAACTAATATCCTTCTTCATCACACAAGAACCCTAACAGTGACAGTTTATACCTTTAACCAAAATGATCAAGTTTTTATCACAAAGACAAACATACACATACACACATATATGAAAGTTTGGCTACAACAAACACCAAGACAAAATGTAAATCGTTAGGGTTTTGAAATGGAAATGGACAATACCTCAAAGAAATCGCTAGGGAGCCACGAAATGTAAATCAATACCCGGAGAAATCGTTGTTGAAAATCAATACTCCAAAACCCTGGTTATATGCACAGTCGTCTTGGGAGCCATGGGTTTGAAGTCAAAAATCGCTCATTTGTGCAGAGTAGCAGGATTGGAAGAAAGCAATTTTTGACCTTACCAATTTCAAAGAGGAAAACCAAGGTTATATGCATAGTCGTCTCGGAGCCACGAATTTGAAATTTGAAATCGGTCATCTTGGAGCCACGAATTTGAAGTCTGAAATCGTCCATATCGAAAGAAAGCGATCTTTGACCTTGCCAATTTCAAAGAGGAGAGCTAGAAAAGGGCCTGTTATGTCTAGACTTACCAAAAGGGTTCTGTGAAAGACAATCTGAAATTGTGAGGGACAAAGTAAATGCATAGAAAACTTGTACCATATGCTTAATGAGTTGTTATTAAGAGTTTTTTGAAAACCTTGCATAAAACTATTGTAACTTGTGCTTAAAGAGTTGTATTTAAGACTTTGTCTTAAATGGTTATATATGTAGTATAGATATATATATATAATATGCCTTAGTGGCTGGATATTATGCCTTAGTGGCTGGAACATCATGCCTTAGTGGCTGGAACACTATGCCTTAGTGGCTGTTATGTTATGTTAATTATTTACTTAATGTAATACGATCTCATGATATCTTCGACATACGAAATGTTGAAATTGCCATAATCAGTTTTTGTTGTCTTGAAGAATATTGATTCATGAGTTTATTGATTCGGAAAGCCTTTGTATACACATATATGTTACTTGAGTTCGTTCCTGGGATTCCTTTGTGTATGTGTATGTATACATCATAATATTCAAATGTTTCCCTATGAACTCACTAAGCTTTATGCTTAACCTCTTAGATGTTGATGTTCTTTTACAGGAAGGATAGAAAGGAGTAAAGGTTCGATGTAGGATTGTCGAGCTCAAAGAAGTTGGTTGATATTTAAAGCTCGTATTTTGAGTATTTTTTTTGTTTATGTACATGTTTTATATATATAGTATGTAAGGGTAGTTATATGTCCCTTCATCAACGATACTTATCTCTTTTGGTGAATAACTTTGTATCCCGTTTTGTTTTAGAGTTGTATATTGAATCTAATATTACCTGGTGAAATTAGCTTTCGTTTTAATGTGGTGTTTCAAAAAGCGAGAAGGCAGAGTATCAAACGTCCAATTGGTAATCAAGAGCTCCAAATGGAAGCTCTAATAGTGGTTCCAAGCTTTAATGGAAGCTTCAAATGGAAGCATAAAAGTTGAGAACCCTAACCCATTTTGATTTCTGTTTTAAAAACAAACAGAACCCTAATTAAAAAAATAACCGGAAGACGGACGATGAACAACCCTATGAGATGATATGATACTGGAAGAAGGAAGATAAAAAATAATTACATCGAATGAAATCGGTAGAGGAGTCTAATCGTATTGATACATGGAATTGAATCAGGAGGAATAATGATACTGGGAGTTTTGAATCGTCATCTTGGGAACTTAATCTATGAATCATCATTTGGGAGAGAAGTCTGATAGGAATGAAGTGGAAGAGTTGTCTTTGGGAAGATGATTCCTGATAGAGTGTTGTAGCAAAGTCGAATAGAAGAAGGTTGCAGCAACTGACCTTACTGAATTGGTTTTGGCGTACTGGAAAAGGAAGAAGGCGCACAGGAAGAAGAACAGAAGAAAGCCATTTTGACCTTACCCAAACTGGTCTTGGCAGAAGGAAATGTTGGAAAAGGAAGAGAAGAGAAGAAAGCAAGTTTTGACCATTGTAGTTTTATTCAATGCATAAAAAACTTGTACATCATGTTTTATGAGTTTGTAATTAAGAGTTTTTTGAAATTCTTGTATAAAATGGTTGTAACTTGTGCTTAAAGGCTTGTACTTAAGACTTTGGTTTAAATGGTTATTAATGTAGTGTATATATATATATTATGTAATGTAACAGATCTCTAAAGTTTGATAATTTTTATAGAAACGAGCAAATCAAGAAAACAAGTAACATGACTAAAATATCACTTATTAAATTATACTTAACGAAAAAAATTAACATCTGATAAGATGAGGAACGAAAACCGTTGCAAGGTATGAAGGACAAATCTATTAAAAAAAAGCTGAAAGACGGAAACCTTTAAAATTAACAAACCTGAGGACCGAACTTTTCTTTTAATATCTATTGCTTTTGCCCATTCTCCCTGTGCATAAGGAATTGGTATTTGTATTTGTTCTTTAGATTCTCATACCATCTCCTCCAATATAAAAAAAATTGGTTTGGTTTGCTGTTTTGAATTATTCAAACTATGGTTCAATTGGTGTTGCATATTAATTTTTACTACTAATTAATTTTATGTTTTGTAAGAATATATTATATTTCTATAATTAAAAAATATTTACTATAAATAATTATATTACTTATAGAGCAATAATAATAATAATAA